ATTTAGATCAATAGACTCCTTAGCCATTTCTCCCTCATCTTCCACTATCATGTTGTGGAGAATAACACAAGCTTTCATGATCAGTCCAATAATCCTTGTGCTCCAAGATCGTGCTGGACGACGCACAATGTTGAAGCGAGCTTGCAGAACGCCAAAAGCACGCTCCACATCTTTCCTTGCACCTTCTTGTTCTGCTGCATACACCTTGTGCTTGTCTAGTTGAGGTGAATTTATAGACTTCACAAAGGCTGTCCATTCTGGGTAAATTCCATCGGCTAGGTAATAACCAGTGTTGTATTGCCTACCATTGACAGAATACTGAACCCGAGAAGCTTCACCCTTTATTGCCTCAAGAAACAAAGGGGACTGATTAAGCACGTTGATGTCATTATTAGACCCAGCAACACCAAAGAATGCATGCCAAATATGAAGATCATGTGAAGCTACTGCTTCAAGGATCATGGTTGGGAATCCATAGCGACCAGTGGTATATTGCCCCTTCCATGCTATTGGACAATTTTCCCATCGCCAATGCATGCAGTCAATACTACCCAACATTCCAGGGAATCCACGAGACTCTCCAACTTGGAGCAGACGCTCCATGTCTTCAGCTGTAGGACGTCGAAGGTACTTGGAGCCAAAAACTTCAACCACCCCTTGCACAAATTTTTCCAAGCACTCAAGGGCAGTGCTCTCTGCAACCTTTAAGTACTCATCAAGCATGTCAGCTGCAGTCCCATATGCAAGCATACGGATTGCTGCTGTGCACTTTTGCAGTGGTGAAAGCCCCGGGCGATTAGTACAGTCTACCTTTTGAGTGAAATAGGGAGACCAACTGCCCACGGCATCCACAATGCGTAGAAAAACATGCCTTCTCATCCGAAATCTTCTACGAAACATTACATCAGAATATAGAGGCTCTTCTGCAAAGTAATCAGCCACAAGTCGTTGATGAGCACCTTCACGATCCCTGTTGATGTACTTTCTGGTTCGACGCCTAGATGAACTACCCACCATCTTTGCCTTAATCTTCGTAAAAATCCGGCTAGCAAGAGAGTCGAGGGCTTGTTGCTCACCTGAGAACTCTTCTAAGGGGTCTACAGAATCATCGGATTGATCCGACATGTTTGGAGACAAGTTTAGAAAGGGGTATAGAAGTTGGAGAGTTTGGGCTGCTGTGCATATATGCAGCCATACTGGTCATGTATATATACACGCACAAAGGACAAATGCGTTTTGACAACTACACCAAACTGGTCATGTAATTAGTGGTACTGCATGATAATTCACAAAGCATTGGTAATAGATGTTGACTGACTAAATTTAGTGGTACTGCATGATAATTCACAAAGCATTGGTAATAGATGTTGACTGACTAAATTTAGTGGTACTGCATGATAATTAGCAATGCATTTATACAAAGTACCTTAGTTACTAACTCATCAGGAGCAGTTGTCCATCTAACTATGCATGCATGAACCAGAACCTCCAAGGAACAACTCGTTTATTTCAAATCATTTTGTCAGGGCAGTTACCACCGGTTAATGTTTTGTACTATATAGATGGTGATCTACCGTAACTCAAGGTTCAGGACAGACTAGTGATGAATACATTCCATGTGGTCTGTTAAAATTTTGTACTTATCCACATATCTAAATATTTTGATTTCTTACTACATATGCTACCTGCAAAGTTTTCAGATGATATGCAAGGTCCACATAATAACCAGTGCAGAAAAAAACTTACAGTTATTCAATCAATCACCGGCCAATTTCTCCCTTAGCATCTTCAGGGCAAGGACATGCTCAGCTCTAATATCCTCTATCATCTCCCTAGTGTCCATACACAAGAGTTTTTGATATGATTCCAGTAAAGCGGCCTCCCTGTTAAGCCTTGCTGTCTGAAACTTCTTTTCAGAAATGCGTTCTTGTGCCTCTACGAAATCTTCCTGTCGTTTTTTTGTTGCTGCTTGAATGTCAATGAATTTCTTCAAGTCTTCATCTAAACTAACATCATCATCGCTGACTCTAGATTTACCATTGCGTTTTTTCTTAGCTTGTTGTGTCCCCATAGGACGCTCCAATTCTCCTACAGCTTCTGGTGTCCTTGAGGTGCCAATTGCCTCATCTTCACCATCCAAACTCCTTTTATTTGGGTTTTCAAGTTCTTCCAAAACTGCATGCCACTTGGGTTCATCACGAAGAATCTTCCAGCAGTGCTCAACTGTGAATGGTCCTTCCTTATAGTCATCCAAATAAAACTGCTTAGCCATGTCTTTTAGCTGCTCATCTGAATATCCACTAAGATAAATTGAGGTAGCCTTCTTCCAACTTCCACAGAAAAATGCCACCCATCTCTTGATTTTTGTCCAGCGATCTTTGAGATGTTTCACTTCTCTTTTTCGGTTTGTAGGTGTAGTCTTATTGTAGTGTCCATGTACATCACCCCAATACTTCTCATTTTTCTTGCAATTACCATTGATTGGGTCATTTGAGTGGATCAGCCATGCACTGACCTGAATTTAGGATACATGATTAGTTGTAGGTTCATATATTTGTGTAGCTACAAAAAGAAAGTGAGTGATACAATTTTACTTACTAGCCTCACGTCCTCATCTGGATCAAATACAAGGCGCTTTGCAGTCCTGCCATCGTTTCCATCATCTAAGTTGATGATGGTTTTGCCTTTCGATCTCTTTTTAGAATTTTGGTTTCCTGAGTCATTTTTTGGTGGTGCTAATTGAGATTCCTTTCCCATAGGTGGCCATGGTGCCGAAATATGAGGAAAGAATGGTTGTCCAGATTGTAAAATGCTCATAAAACCACCAGGTGGATAGTAATCCATACCACTGAAAAATAAGCAACCCATATCGTTAGTTCTAATGAAACTAATATAGCTAGTGAACTAACTGTTTCTGAACATTACTTCTAATAAAACTAATATAGCTAGTGAACTAACTGTTTCTGAACATAATAAAATGACAACTAGTGCAGCAAGAAAATTACATAGAAAAAAATAAAACTTACCAATTTGTGGATGTGGCTGCTGAAGATGTGGCTTGTGGCAAAGGTCCAGGCCACCATGCTGCAGAGTCATGCCATTCGGCCATTAGTTTAGACAAACACTTTATCAAAAAATCAAGATAAACTTCCACTAAATATCTAAAAAATCAATAAGTAGCAGGAGTGACTTCGGGTCTGCTTGGATCCCTTGTTGCCGCTCGCCTTGCCTCACCGAGCAAGTCAAGGCGTTTGGTACGCGCTCGCTTCACCTCGTTGCCCGCAAGCTTCCCCGGTTGGGCAAGGAAAATCCTTGCCGACGCAAAAGAGCCGATTTGGCTCTCCTGCGCGGTCAAGGCGGCTCGCGTGGGCCGTCGCAGGCGTCGTCGATTCGATCCCCGCCGCCACCGGTTCGACCCCACCGCCACTGAATCGAGCACCGCTGCCGTCGGATCGAGCCTGTCGCGGCCAGATCGACCTCCGCCGTCGCTGGATCGAGCACCGCGGCCGCCGAATCGACCTCCGATGCCACCGGATCGACCTCCGCCGCCGCCCGATCAAGCACCGCGGCCGCCGAATCGACCTCCGACGCTGCCGGATCGAGCTGCGGGGCGAGGCAAGGCAGACAGCGGCAAGGGATCCAAACGCCCACCTTGGGAGCTGGCGAGGCACGGCGAGGAAAGGAGAGGCAAGCGGGCGAGACAAGGCGAGCGGCGGCAAGGGATCCAAGCAGACCCTTCATTGATTTTTTTCTAGCTTACTGCTATGCATCTAGCTAAATATAGAAACCAAGAGCGAACTCGATTACCTGATGGACCTCCTATATTTGGAATAGAAGAACCACCACCCAGAAGTGCAGGATCATGCGTAGGCACTCGAATAGCAGAAGCAGGGGCGGATCCCATCTGAGTAGATCCAGTCTAGTGTGGTGGCAGGGCCATCTCTCGCTTCCGGCGGCTCATCACCAGCAGCGACAAGGATCTCGCGGACCGGAACTGAATCGAAAGAGTCAAGCACTTGAGCTGGATTGTGGAATAAGATAGATGGGAAGATATGACGGAAAAGAAGAAGAACAGACCTTGCTTTTGACGCCTCCAGAACTAAATCGGAAGAGCAAGGGCGGGAGAAGGTGGATTGTGGAGGGATTTTCGCGCGCCGTGGACGGATTTTCGCGCGCAGTGACGCGGGAGAGAAAATGGATTCGCGCGCAGCGGATGGGAGAGAAGGATTCCCGCGCAGGGGACGGGGGAGGAGAGGGTTGCGCGCAGCGGATCTGAAAACGCTAGAAGAAAAGCTACCAGATGGCGATGAAGCTGGCGATTTGGCGCATCGTCGCACGTGCGAGCTGAGAGACGAGCAAGTCGCCGGCTCAAATATTTTTGCATCTTCTCTTTCCTCCACATAGGATACATGCTGAGCTGTACACTCAAATAGCTAGCTGACTCAGCACCATTGCGGACGCCCTTAGTCTGTGTTTAGTTCACGGATTTTAAGAATTTGGCTACCGTAGCACTTTCGTTTTTATTTGGCAATTAGTGTTCAATTATGAACTAATTAGGCTCAAAACGTTCGTCTCGCAATTTCCAACCAAACTGTGCAATTAGTTTTTTTTTCGTCTACATTTAATACTCCATGCACATATCGCAAGATTCGATGTGATGACTACTGTAACACTTTTTAGAAAACTTTTTGGAACTAAACAAGCACTTAGGCTACACATCATCCTTCCTCAGCTTATATAGTACTCCGGCCGTGGCATACCTCCTCTCACAGCAGCAGCAGGGAGCAGGTCCTGACGGCACCTCCTCAGCTTCGTCTCGCACAGCAGGGAGCTAGCAGGTGTGAAATATTCCCCTCCCTAGTTCTTTGGTAAAAATAAATCTGGTTAATCTGAGAATAGAAAGTAGGATTGATAGTTGATCAGTTTGGATTGGATGAGATTACTCTCTTTCAGCACCCTCGTAGTACAACTGAGCTAGCACTGCGCTGTAGCTAGCTAGCATGTGGCGGCTAAAGATCGGCGAGAGGCCAAGCAACCCGCTGCTCCGCTCGCCGAATGGCTTCCTTGCCCGGGAGGTGTGGGAGTTCGACCCCGCCGCCGGCACGCCGGAGGAGCGCGCCGAGGTGGAGAGGCTGCGGCAGGAGTACGCCCGCAACCGCTTCACGCAACGGGAATGCGGTGACCTTCTCATGAGGATGCAGGAAAGTACACAGTACATGCATGCCTCGTCCTCTTTATTTGCTCTTGATCTTGATTGCCTTTTTGCTATTATTACCTTCTTCGTTCGCATCATCAGTTTCATCACCTGCGTTTTATTTTTTACTTAAAAATAGCAACTTTCATTCTAGCCCTTCTTCCAATTACTACTTCAACATGCTCTGGAATAAGGTCCGAGTTTAATTAGAAGAGCAACTTCCATTCTAGACTTTCCAAACTTTTTAGTGAATTTCCATTTTTACTTCAACATAGTACTCTGCAGTGGAATGAGGATACCTTCGCTTCTTTCTTTTCTGTAATTTCCATTTTTGCTTTAGCATATTTTAACTCAACGGCCACAGTAATACCATCCTTTGTAGTTCAACTTTTGATTTAAAAGTCGTGGCAAAAGAATTATCATCATCGAGATCCTTAATTACCCACTTCGAACCTGCTATAATTAAGGGTTCTAGTTCCACTACTATGACTTGCGCGACAGTTAAAGAACCGCCTGATATCACCTTAACAACGGCATCATCATTTGATTCGGTCTTTTCCTTCTGTTTCCCCGTGAATGGAAACCCCAGGCCATCGAGACTGCACAACCACGTAGGTTTGTCTCCCTTAGTTAGGGACAAGCTTTAGTGACATGACTGTCACTATCACACGCATCACAACAAATCGCAGCAGAGCAATCAGTCATAATATGGCCTTTGGTAAAGCACTTGAAGCAGTACGGTTTGTTCTTGTTTCCTTTTTTGGTTGCTCCTTGACTGCAATAATTTTCACCATCTATTTGCATTTTATTGAGCTCTACACCAACTCCCACATCTAAAACAGCATTATCAGCCTCCAAACAAATGTTACCTGAAACTATCGGATCTTCAACTGGACTTTATTTTGCTTGTCTTTGGCACCAGCAGCTTGTTTGCCTGCTGGGAGCACTTGATCAGGCACTCGTCCATCTCATGGGACGGACCGCCTCCAGATGCATGTCTTTCATGCCAACCGTGGCCGCCACGCCATGATTGTTGTTGTCGGTGTTGTATCCTCCGCAGTAGCCATCAACGTGATATCCACCATGACCGCGACCATACAAGTCACTAGGGTAGGAGTGACCACCGCCACGCCCGCCATAGCCACGACCCTGCAGGCCTCGACCACCACGAAAACCACCTCGATAGCCGCGGCCGCCACCATAGCCACTTCCATAGTTATCTCTTCCCTGACCGGCATATCCAAGGTTAAAGCCCGGATTGAAACCTTGGCCTTGACCTCCAATAGTGCCACCTGGCACTTGGAACGGTGGTTGTCGGTACGTGAGAATAGTAATAGTAATAGTAATAGTAATAGTAATAGTAATAGTAATAGTAATAGTAATAGTAATAGTAATAGTAATAGTAATAGTAGTTTAACTAAGCCTTTGGTGGGCCGAAACCATTGCCAGGCCCAATTAACACCTTGTCACCCGACGTATTTTGGTTTGTTATTGAATTTTGAATATTTGCTCAAAGATTCCGGCGCAATTTTTTATGGGGTTGACTCTCCATGCAGGTCCAGCACATCCCGTAGAGTACGCGAAGGCGAGACACTAGATAGAAGCATGTCCTTGCCATGGTCGTGGTTTCAAAAATCCTCTTTGATAGAGGTGCTTTGCCATTTTGATCACGATCAGATAGAGGAGAGCATACCTTGATCCCCGGAAGAAATCTCCTTTTCTGCTTGTTGTTCGAGATCTTGAATATGGAAAATCCGATCTCTGAAAAAAAAAACCCTCAACTGTGGAGATAGCATGCGCCCCGAGCATTCGTATCAAGGTAGATGACTCCTCAACCGGCTCCACTAAGGGTCCCTTTGGCATGGCTCATCAAAACGGCTTCACTGGTAAAGCCAGAAAAACTGGCTTTTCCCGGCTTCTAGTTCATTTTAATCCCGCCTTACAAAACGGTTTCACGCTATAATACCTTGATTTACGCAAAATAGATGAAGCCGAAGCCAACATAATCCGTGCGAAAGAGACTCTAAATGACGGTCGGTCATCAGATTCCGGAAACAACGGGCAATATTCCCACAAGCTGCAATTTTCTATTTTTTAAAAAAATAACTCCCACCTCTTTCCCCTGTTGGATGATGCCAACTGCGCCGCACGCTCCACCGAGCGCATGCACCTCTCTGCTCCATGCCTGGCCGTTACGTCATCTATGAAAAAAAGCGAAACATTTATTTCAAAATGCTATAACTTTTAAACGGCGTATTTATTTTTAATTCTGTCTACACCGATATGTTCTACGCAACGAGGTAAACAAAACTAGACCCCACTTACATATGTTTCGAAGAATTTTTTCTAATAGCTATTTTTTCTAATAGTTTTGTTCGTCTCGTTGCGTAGAACACACCGGTATAGACGGATTTGAAAATGGATACACCGTTTAGAAGTTATAGCATTTTTAAATAAATGTTTTACTTTTTTCAAAATAACGTTAGACAGCATGCAGCGGTGGGCGCAGGTGCACACTAGACGCGTGACTCGGTCTGATCGTTCGTGGGAACAGAAAGCAGTGAACGACCGCATGGATGGAACTTTGCTCCTCACCCAGTTTAAGAAAACCCTCAAACCTCGTACCTGGCCGTACACAGGAACCGGTTACCCTGTAAGTGAGTCGATGCCACGAACCTGTGCTTTAGGTAACGCGGGGCAGACGAGAGGGGCTTTTTTTTTATGCCCGGCACTGCAATTCGCTGCCGTGAGGTGTGGGGATCGAACCCAGGCCATAGCAATAAACTCTGGCTGGCGTCGAGATGTCATCGTCGTCCACCACAATCTCTTCATCTATCTGCTCCTCTGAATCCTCGGCAGGGGCGGATCTAAGCCCCGGGCTGCAGCTCGTTGCGTGGCCCAAAAATCTCTTTAATAGGATAGGTCCTTTGCTCAGCCCAAGATAGCCCATAAAAATTATACATTTAGCCTTGCCCGACGCGGTCCAAAAGTCCCTTACAATTTTTAGCCCCCCCAGCTGTTTCTGGATCCCTGCCACTGATCCTGGGAATCAGAATTTCTTGTCGCGTATAACCTCGATGAGTTACCTTCCACACCATGCATCAGCTTTGGTTTGGATCGGAGCATGCCGCCAGTCCGCCACCACCGATGCCACGGTATAAGAATATAGAGAAGGCGATGCCACAGCTGCCAGATAACTGCTGCTACTATATAATATAAAAGTATAGTATTTAATTTCTCCAACAACGACAGTGCGTTGGCGCATTGATAAGTTCTGTGTCACATCCTTCGTTTTATATATACTGTCTCTGTTCCAAATTATCTGTGGCTTTTGAATTTCCGTGCTCACAAGTTTAACTCGATTTAGATTTTAACTGCGTGGGGGATCGAACCCAGGCCATAGCAATAAACTCTGGCTGGCGTCGAGATATATATCATCGTCGTCCACAACAATCTCTTCATCTATCTGCTCCTCTGAATCCTGGGAATCAGAATTTCTTGTCGCCTATAACCTCGATGAGATACCTTCCACACCGTGCATCAGCTTTGGTTTGGACCGGAGCATGCCGCCAGTCCGCCACCACCGATGCCACGATACAAGAATATAGAGAAGGCGATGCCACAGCTGCCAGATAACTGCTACTACTATATAATATAAAAGTATAGTATTTAATTTCTCCAACAACGACACTGCGTTGGCGCATTGATAATAGCCTCTGTGTCATCACATCCTTCGTTATATATATACACATTATATTCAGGAGGTGTTTGGTTCTTTAGTCGTTCCTAAAATTTATGTCACATTGAATGTATAGATACTAATAAAGAGTATTAAATATAGATTAATTATAAAACCAATTACATAGATAGAAGCTAATTTGCGAGACGATTTTTTAAGCATAATTAATCTGTCATTAGCACACGGTACTATAGCATCACGTTGTCAAATCATGAACTAATTAGGCTTAAAAGATTCGTCTCGCAAATTAGTCGCAAGTTATGTAATTAGTTTCGTAATTAGTCTATATTTAATATTTTATGCATGTGTCTAAACATTCGATGTGACAGGAATTTTAGGAGTCCTGTAGTAACCAAACACCCCCTCAGTTAGCTAGGATGAAATAAACCACAGTACGTAGTCTTTTCCCATCCTTTTTGAGCAAGCTACTAGCTAGGACTGCGGCGCTGTAGCTAGCATGTGGAGGCTCAAGATCGGCGAGAGTCCGAGCAACCCGCTGCTTCGGTCGCCCAATGGCTTCCTTGGGCGAGTGGTGTGGGAGTTCGACCCCGCCGCAGGCACGCCGAGGTGGAGAAGCTGCGGCAGGAGTACACCGGCAACCGCTTCACGCAACGGCAATGCAGTGACTTCTCATGCGGATGCAGGAAAGTACAGTACATGCATGTTTGTTATTGCCTTCTTCGATCGTTCGCGTCATCAGTGGATTGTTTGCAAAACTACCATCCCTTGCTATCCTGCAGCGGATTATTTGCCGGTGCCTCGCTAACAACGGTACAATATAGCCACTCATAACGCACGCACGTCTTCGAAGATGCTTATAGAGGTAGGGTTTCATTGCGTGCATTTCGCTGTTAACGACAACATCGCCTATCACTGAAAGCACAACAATATTAAATTAAATTTTGAAATATTCGCTCTCAATCCCATAGGGAGTCAAACCTAGGCTACTGACCTCGTCTTCTCAATGAACAATGATTATCACCGAACGATCCGTTGTCAAGTGCTGTTCAACATAGTAACACCAGACCGTGTGGTGGGTTACGTCGATCGATGTACATGGTGCCAAGTTTTCTTTTAGAAAAGGGAAATGGTGCCAAGTTGCTGTGTGCATAGATCAACTGACGACGATATGCGGATTGTACGGCATGTATGTTGTTTCCTCACTGCCAGACGGTCGGGTGGTGTGTCATTTTCTTGATTTATTCACGGTTTCCTCTTGACTTGGTAGCGCTTGCTTCCTTACATCTATCTCTAGGACAAACGCACCTCTCTAACACAACTTAGCATACATATTACTCCTAATGATTGAGCTGTGTACTGTCGTCATCATGTTCACCAAACTAAAACCACAACAAAATATGCTATTTTGGCCGTGTTTCTTGGACATGGGACGCACTTCACAGATTGTTTTTGGGGCAACGTCTAGTTGAAAGCCGTTGTCCGTAATAAATATGTCAGGCCGGTGATGACAATTCCTTTCATATGTGTCGTCTTCCTCGCTCCTCGAGTGCATCTCTCATATATAGCCACCCCATGCGTACGTGTCTTGGGTTCTTGTTGGCGTGAAAACATAGTTCGTGCTGGATGGGTGGCATCATTAGCGCTGGTGGATGTTGTGCGGTGCCCCTCCCTTAGGCACTGTTTTTCTTTTGTTTGTTTATCCGGTGGTGTCCCCTTTGGTTTCAAGCCTTGAGTTTCACTTATCTGGCTAATGGAGTTACTTTTCTCATTGGTTCAAATTAACTTCAATTTCGTTCTACTCTTGCTCTAAGAGCAAGCTCAATAATAGAGCCGAGCTATATAATAGTGGTTATCTTATTTGTCTATAGGAATTTTTATTATTATTATTACTTCTACCCATGTCTCACCTTCCCATTCATAATCCCCCTCACATTCACTTGATGTATGGGCCCACTACTACATATGTTTCCGTGCATAACTTGTTGTTTGCATAAGCGCCCACTACTATAAAATGAGTAACCGAGATGGTCAAAACACATTTAAAAATGATCTCTCGAATGAGCTATTTCTCGAGACGATGGTGAGCTATTTCTCGAGATGATGGTTAGAACCTTCTCTAAAAAACGCATGTATAGAGATGGGCCACTTAACACACTGCCTCTAGAGGTGGGTGACTTAGGCAACCTGCCTTAGGAAATGCTTAAGCCCCCCTCCCGTTTATGCGGCAGGCCATGGCCTTAGGCCTGCTTGCCTATGTAAAGTTTCTGACGTGTCTGTGTCTCATAATTTTTTTAGTAGTGTGCAAGACTTGTCTAATTTTCAATTTGAATTACTACACATTTTTTTTTCACCTACGTCGTCTTTGATGAAGTCTCATGGTTCGTTGTACATCCCTTGCAGTATACAAAACAGAACCTTCATAGTACAAACCTTCCAGCTATCAAGATTGACAAGGATTCAGAAGCCACAGGAGAAACTATACTAGTTGCGTTGAGGCGTGCCCTTAGTCAACATTCTTCTTTGCAAGGACCGGATGGGCATTGGCCTGGGGGTTACAGTGGGATTTTGTTCATTCTACCACTCATGGTATGAGTTTTATTTATGATTTAAGTTCATGAAATATTGAAGCTTCCCAACAAACTTTGAATTACCAAAGCACACAAAGTAACATAATCAATAACAAAATGCTAGAAACATAATACCGCAGCAAACTTTTTTTTGGGATGTGATAATGTACGTCAACAATGAATGGATCAAGATATAGTATTTTTATTGATTTAATTAAAAATACAAATATGTAAACATAATCCTGTAAAATAGAAACATAGTATGTTTTAAGGTATAAAATATTAACCATTATTGTGGATAACTAATTGGATATGATCCCCATAACATTTCGAGGTTCTGTTCTCATGATATTTTACAAAAGGTCACTATTTGACCAAATAAACATATGTTGTAACTTTAGCTATTTCATTTTTGTCATTAGTAAATATATTCAATAATTGTGGTGGTATCATATTTTGATCTCACAAAAATTATTTACTGTATCTATAAAATCATAGCTTTAACAATGCTTCTACCTTTTTTGTATCTTTTAGATATTTGCATTACATGTCACACGATCACTGAATGAAGTTTTGTCAATAGAGCATATACGCGAGATATGTCGCTACATTTATAACATTCAGGTATTTCAAAGTTTGCTTAAAATTTCCACACAATGTAGAATACATAAAATCTATCTTACATATTCTATGAAATATAATATGTATAGAATGAGGATGGAGGCTGGGGAACACACACCTTGGGACCAAGCTCCATGTTTGGCACATGCGTGAACTATGCAACGTTAAGGATTCTAGGAGAGGTGCTTGATGGAGAAAATGATGCATTATCCAAAGGGCGTGCTTGGATTTTGTCTCATGGAAGTGCAACTGCAGCACCACAATGGGCAAAGATATATCTCTCGGTATGCAAATAAGTCATTAAATTTTATAAATATAAAAATAATTTAAACTTTAATAATTAATAGTTTTTTGATATATGGAATGAACATCTTATATTAGTTTTATTCTTATTAGTTTGCAATACAATGTAAGTTCTCACTAGTTGAACAACATTTTCTAGCGATGAACATCTTTAGCATTGTAAATATATGGTTGTGGATTGAAATTAATGCAACCCATTGTTGTTACTTTCAACATAAGGTGATAGGTGCATACGATTGGTCTGGGAACAATGCAGTTATTCCTGAGTTATGGATGCTTCCACATTTTCTCCAATTCATCCCGGTATTTTATCCTAATCCCACATTTCATAGTTCATATGTATCCACACGCATATTTCCCAACTTTTATTTCGCTAGAGTGCAAATAAATTAAACAAATATTTGACTGCACTCTACACCTTTACATTTAATCTAATTTAATTGTTTCTAGGAAGGTTTTGGTGCTTTTGTCGGATGGTTTACATGCCAATGGCTTACATTTATGGAAAAAAGTTTGTTGGGCCTATCACTCCAACTATTGTGGCAATAAGAAATGAGATCTATAATATACCATATAATGAGATCAATTGGAACAAGGCTCGTAATTCTTGTGCCAAGGTATATCACTATCCTTCTCAGCATTGAAGCTTTATACTACCTGTAGTCATCATGTAAAAAATAGTCATATTCTAAATAATTATGCTCATTTTCACACAGTTTAATATTAGGACCAACCTTTAAAATTACTTAATCCATGTTTATCCAACGACTAGATTGGAGAGAACCCCTTGAAGTGGGGCTCCAAGTGGGGGATTGGGAATCTTTGAAAGGTCCTAATGGCTAAAGGGGGTGAATAGCCTATAAAAATTTCTACAACAACACTAAGCAATGTGGTTAGACAAATATGAGGCGAAGCAATTTTTGCACTAGCCTACTAAAAATGCAAGCCACCTACCACAATTCTAGTATCTATAGTCTCTATGCACACAATGTTAGGTCACTACCACTAAGTTAGTGAGCTCTCAAAGACTAACTAAAGAGCCTCACTAACCACTAGACAAGATACAAGCTAGCTCTCAAGACTAAATACACTAAAGAGCGTAGCAACACTAGAAATGTAAATACAAGAGAGGGGATGTGATAGTTATATCGCCATGGGAAGAGATGATCAATCCAATCACAATGAATACCAAGAAATCCTCAGAGACAAGATAACACAATGATTTTTCACCGAGGTTCACTTGCTTGCCGGCAGGCGAGTCCTCGTTGTGGCGATTCACTCACTTAGAAGTTCACGCGCTAATAGGCATCACACGCCTAACCCGCAATCGGGTGCCACACAACCAACATAAGATGAGGATCACACAAGCCACAAGCAATCCACTAGAGTACCTTTTGGCTCTCCGCCAGAAAAAGGTCAAGAACCCTTCACAATCACCACAATCAGAGTCAGAGACAAGCACCTTCCTTCGCTCGACGATCCTCGCTGCACCAAGCCGTCTAGGTGGCGGAAACCACTAAGAGAAACAAGTGAATCCCGCAGCGAAACACAATCACCAAGTGCCTCTAGATGCAATCACTCAAGCAATGCACTTAGATTCACTCTCAATATCACAAAGATGATGAATCAATGATGAAAATGAGTGGGAGGGCTTTGGCTAAGCTTACAAGGTTGTTATATCAATGCAAATGGCCAAGAGAGTGAGCTAGAGCTGGCCAAACACCTTATATAGGCGTCCCCTCGAAATAGAGCCGTTGGCTCTCTATTAACACAGAATTTGGGGCAACTGGACGCACTAGTGGGATTGACCGGACGCAGGACCCCAGCGTTCGGTCCTTGGATTTGCGCCATGTGTCCCCCTATGTTCAACCTCAGCCGCTGATCACCAACGGCTAGTTAGCCTCCCTCGCACGGTTAAGTTGAGATCGGACGCGCCAATCAAGGAGACCGGACGCGCCGATGCACAGTCAGCCCCCGCGCACGCCAGCGCCAACACCTAATGACCGGACGCGCCGGTGCCCACGCTAACCTAGTGTCAGATTGAGTCCAGTAAGCATCCAAAGAGGGATTTTGCTGACCGGACGCGTTCGTTCACGTATGACCGGACGCACCACAGCGTCAGGTCCTCTCTGGCTCAGCAACAAAGCATACGTCAGCGTACGTCATGTGTGACCGAACGCAGGCCCTGTGTGTCCGGTCACATTCACTGTGCAGCGTTCGGTCACTAAACATACCGAGCTTGAGCGCACCATCTTCACTATAACTGACCGGACGCACTCACCCCGAGTCCGGTCAGTTCGAATGCGGCGTCCGGTCACTGAAAACAATGACTCCTCAACTCCAAACTTCGCCAAACATCACCACCCTTGAATAAATGTTCCAACCACCAAGTGTATCACCTTGTGCATGTGTGTTAGCATATTTTCACAAACATTTTCAAGGATGTTAGCACTCCACTAGATCTAAATGCATATGCAATGAGTTAGAACATCTAGTGGCACTTTGATAACCGTATTTCACGACGAGTTTCATCCCTCTTAGTAGTACGGCTATCTATCCTAAATGTGATCAGACCCACTAGGTGTGTTGATCACCAAAACAAAATGGCCCTATGGATTTCACCTTTGCCTTGAGCCCATTTTATTTTTCTCTTTCTTCTTTTCCAAGTCTGAGCTCCTGATCGTCACCATGGTCACACCACCATCATCATGGTCTTCATCATTTGCTCCACCACTTGGAATGTACTTAACCTATCTCATATTCACTTAGAGCACATAAGTTAGTACCTAGGGTTTCATCAATTCACCAAAACCAAACTAGAGCCTTCAATCTTACTATAATAGGGGTCCTGCTAGAGTTGTTCCTTATTATTTCTTTTTTTTTGTCTCGTACTCAAAAATATACTGGAGTTGAAATTGTGTTGACATACAAGATGTATTTTAAACTTTTACGCATTTTTGGTGTTACAAATATATTTTTTGGCAGTTTTATTTCGCCTCTCAAGGATATTAATGGCTGCTAAGGTAATTCCATTTTCTAGTAGTGCGTGTAGTATATATGAGTCTATACATGTGTGATGTTGCATGGTTGTGCTTGAGTCCTTGTGATAAGGCGAGTCACTAAATACACATGTTGTCTGTAATCAGATTTTACTGTGTACAAATGAATGACCAGTTGCATAAGGATATATCATGCAAGTATTCAATTCTGTAAAAGTAATTGTTGTTCTTTTTTCCTTTGGTCACTGCAGGAAGACCTTATCTATCGCCCTTCATGGTTGCAATGTATTGCAATGGCTTATTTAAATAAGTTTATAGAACCATTATCAAATCTCTGGCCGATGAATAAGCTACGAGAAAGAGCTATGAGCAACCTCATGGAACATATCCACTACGAAGATGAAACCAGCAACTATGTTGGCTTATGCCCTATTAACAAGGTAGCATCCCATTATCTTTTAAAATAAAGGCTAGGCTTTCTTCCATATCTGGATTTTTTTAAGCAACAGGAGGGTTAGGTCTCTACTGATTATAATATATTAAAAAGAGAGAAAATGTCACACAAACAAAAGACCAATAAACAAAAAAATATATACAAAAAGATCAACAAAATTATATAATGTTCTCTAGCCATTTGTTCAGTTACAGGTAGATATCTCTTTATTGCATGATGGACAACCATGGGAAAGGTTTCTTTGAACTTTCTTGGTTTGCATTTTGTAATCTCAACTAGAATTCATCTTAAGATGCAATATTTCCTTACTGATCAAATAGAAAAATACTTTAGCTCATTAAGATAATGACTTCCATGAAAAAGGGTAACATTGGCCCTGTTTGGATCCATGGGTTAGAGCTAGTTTGGGCTAGTTGGAGCTCAACTAGCCCTAAAGTAGCCAAACAGGAGGGCTAGAGTGGGTTATTTGCAACTAGCCCACCCTAAAAAACTATCCCCCCAAAGAGGTGATTATTTGGGCTAGTTGGGGCTATTTGAGGTGGGGTCCACTGTTTTCTCTCTACTTTTACCCGCACCAATGATTTGGAAAGCACATTTATTATCATTTTAACCCTTGTATCCAAACATCTCTTAGGCTAGAGTTAGTTCAGGGCTAGTCCTGAGCTAGAAACTAACTCTAACCTCTAGCTGTACTAGAGTATCCAAACAGGGCCATTAACTGCTTCCCAAGCTTTCCAACACCTGGAAAGGATTATCATATATCTCAATTTGAAGGTTTAGCAGATCCCAACAAGCATGGGCAAAAGGATAGTGGATAAAAAGTGCTCTAGAGTCTCTACCTCTTCATCCCCACAAATAAACACAATTAATTATAAGACTGCATATTCATGGTACTTAATTTGTTTATAAGAAGAAGTCAAAAGAAGACTTTATGTTTGTTCTGGCACATACATGTTTCCTTCTGGTTGCATGTTGATGATGCTAGCAATCTACCACCCTATTGTTATTTTAAAATTTAATTATCTCCTTTGTTATGTACATGCTATATTATTGGCTCATTGCATAAGGGTTCAGCTAGTAATAATTAGCTGAGGTGTTTGCAGAAGCAAGAATGTTATTAAACTTTTATAATTTTGACTAGCAATATCTACTAACATTAGTGTTTCCAATATGCATGAAATTTTAGATATGGATGGTCCAAGTTAGAAAATCGAGTTAGTTCAAACCTCGCTAAAACGGATTTATATTTTATGATATGAGTGACTTTATGATTGATCCTCCAACACACTTTCACAATTTTTTTGAGCGGAAAATACAGCAGGGGAGACCCCCTCTGTAACTGTTTCACAATTGGTATGCATCTTTCATTTCCTTTTCCCTTGTCCCAAGGAAACCCCCAATCCAGCATGGGCCACATTTTACAAATTGAATAGTCATTTTTCTTACATTTCCTGACCACAATGTCTGGAAATGCATGGGCAGCATTTGTGTTTGTGTTGGCCTAAGGTATTCCATTTGGCGAGTATGTTTTCCCTTATATGATTATCACGGTCCCATATTGATATGGATCAAATGGTATCCAATTTCTCAAGTAGTCCATTTGGAATCTCATAAAAGAAAATCATAAACATAGGTAAGCTGCTAATAAACTCTTTACTTTCTCCTAGTGCAGGTGCTACTACCATTTGCATATACTCAATTTCATTTCATAATGTTCTTAAATCCCTTTCCAAACCGGTAATTTTTTAAAATCTCTACAGAAATTTACAACTCACTTTCCTAGATAGATCAAATAGACCACAGAAAATCTCTTACATGATGGAACTCCACCCAGAGTTAGCCATCACTAGATCACCTGACTAGATTAGCATTGACAAGGTATTTTTTTCTTAAGCTCATACGAGTTTATTTTATGATGTGTCTCACAACAAAATTGTTTATGAAAGAAAAGGCATACCGCTACCTTATTTGTAACTAATCATATTGTACAAAACTATTTATTTTACTGATTTTCCTTTTTCTGCTATTAGGCCTTAAATATGATATGTTGTTGGATAGAAAAACCAAACTCCCATGAATTCAGACAACATCTCCCAAGGATTCATGACTTTTTGTGGATTGCTGAAGATGGAATGAAGTCAAAGGTACTATTTTTTGTACTTTGTTATCACTGCTAGAGAGAACATTATATTTGTAGGAATGGTGAGAAATGATTCATAGGAGCGATTTTTGTAGTCGCATGTACCAAACACCTCTAGAAATGAGGCATTTGTAGGGTCTAGCGAAATAACAACCACCTTGAAAAAATGATGCCTCTAAAAAATTATTTATGTAGCAGTGTTATCCAATGCAATTATGATGTTTAAGAACATTGCGTTAAGAAAATGAAGATGTTTGAGCACAACTCTCAAACACAACATGTGCCCTCGAATTAATTGATGCATAATGTGCCACTTAGAAAGATATATGACTACTGAAAAGGATCAAGTTGCCTAAGAGAGAGGGTGAGGTTGGCGATTGAATTAGGCTTCTAACTTTTTTGCGATGCGAGTGTGTCTAATGCCAAAACATTTTGCGCCCTAGTTCCAATCATATTCTAGCATGGAAAATCTAGGAAAGCAAACAATTGTAAGAATGTAACCTCTAGAAAGTAAAAAGATAGTTCAGAAGGCTTTTTTTCTTTAGGTGCGAAGAGTCAGCATTGTTGACTAGTTCTTATTGGAACAGATGTGCTAGGGCCACCTCCCTCTTGAACCATGAATGGACTACCTCTTGGAACATATGGTTTAGTAGTAGTTGTGAAGTTGGCTCATGTGGCCCATGTGGCACATATGGAGTTGCAGTTGGCGGGTTTAGTACCACCATGGAAGTTTAGGATGGTGAGGGCTAGCTTATAATCCCTGTGGTTCCAAACGTAACACCTTCGGGTTAACCCTTTTACACGAAGTGAGGACAAAAGTGTAAGAGAGGTGCTACGCGTATGCGGACCCGTTCCATGTGAGAAGCTAGGCCCTAAGCAGATTTTGGACATGGGGTGTTACATGGATGGAATGCTCGCTAGTGATAATCCATCATCCTTTTATTGATCGACGAATTCCAAACAAAGCACGACACTTCTTGGGTCTTCCACAAGTGTCACCTCCTTGGAAGCTCACCAAGAATAAACACCACCAAGCTATCTAGGTGATGCCTGTCTCAAGAGGAGAAAGCAAACCTCATTTTCCTAGAACCAGCCAAAAAATAGGTGGATGCACTATTGCTGCTCCTAGGCACTAATGATGTCCTTAATATTCGGTCAATAAACTTGCAAATTACTTTAGTTCTTCCTTTTGACTTCAAGGTGTAGCTATATATGAACTCCAAAGGGTGGAAAGAAACCAAAAACCAATGAGGTGGTGAAGTATTTATGGCTACATTAACATATCGAAACTAGTTATTTTCTCCATGCATAAAAATTTCAAACCCCAAATATTCTAGTAGTGCAATTTAATTTGGCTAGAGGATCTGGTGAGTGCTACTACCTCACCTCACTATAAGAAACTTGTTGTTACTATTTTATAAAGCTTTAGTTGAAGCATTTGCTAACGTCATAAGAGCATATGATTATTGTGTGTTGAAAGCATCAAAGCATCAGGTGAGAAACTCAATATTCCACTGGCAACTCTCTCAGTCTCTCTAATGTTCTTGCTACTTAAGCATTCAGTGGATTCAATAGAGTATCGATCTAGTGAGTGTTAATCACTCCTTACCCTCAATGTCCTTTCTTGGGTGATGGCATCCAAAGATATGTTGAGCATTACGGTGAGTTTAACTCACAAATAAACACTCCAGAAGCTTTGTCTGGTGAGAAGCATCTGGTGTTCACTAAAATTTAACTTTAAGGAACATTCCATTTCAAATTTCTCGAGGCCTGACTTCTTTTCTTGCATCTTAGGGTTTCTTGCATCTCAAACTAGGCCATGCTCTTAGTTTTCATTTTCATCACCCTTAGTAGAACTTGTCTATATCTTAATGTTCATGCATATATCATTGCAACATCACCATGAAAACCAAATAGTCAACAATACCAATAAAGCCCGTCTGTTGTGATCTGAGTCAATGTTGCCTCTGCAAACACAACTTTCTATGCTGGTGATGTCATTAATCACCAAAACCACAATAGGACCTAAATGCTTTTAACATCCCTAAGGGCGAGCGCTAATTACCATCCCAATGACTAACCTGCATCAAACAAAGGTTTTGCCTCCTCTTAAGCTTGTCTTATTAGACTGTCTCCAACAGTCCAAACCCATACACGACACGCATTCGATGAATTGGGTAGCCTACAGCGAATGGGTGCGTGACCCAAAACTCCCCTCTTCCAACAGCCCACGCATACTCCACGCTCCGTGTCGCCCTCCCCGTCCTGCACGGCCGACGACTCACCGTGGGCGGCGGCCCTACCACCGGAGGAACCGCCGGAAGCAGAGCTTGCAGGTGTGCCTGTCCATCACCAAGCAACAAGCAACAAGCAAGAATTCCTACACCGAAGGCGGACGGCCAGCGCAGAGCACTGAGCACACGCTTCAATGGTGGAGGAGCAAGCAGCTGCTAGCTTGCTTGCTTTGCCCTCTGGCTCCCTTGCTTTCTCCCTTTGCTTGCTCTGTCTATGCTGCCTTTGAGCGGGCCTCACTCACTCAACCCAAGGATTCGTCACTCTGTGATTTTGTTCTTCACTGTGTTCTTCGTTCCCGTTTCTTTCCCCTTCTTGATTCATGCTCGATTTGAGTTTTGCTGTGAGATTTGTTTAGTCAGATTGATGCTTTGACGAGTGTTGAACAATCCTACCAAGTGGTTTGAATCAATTCCACTCGTGCATCAAGATCCAAGCCGATCTTTATTTTGAGGGAAAAGCTCGTTCTTGCTCGAATTTCTTCGATTTACAGAGTTACAGTTTAAATTGAGCAATGATCTCCTAGGAGTAGGTTTTTATCTTCATTGTGAATCGTTGTGCAAAGTTTGGGAGCGATCCATGAAGATTTGAGTCGGATTTCATCGATTTTCTTGGCCGCTCCTTTTCTGTTCTTCTCGTGCGAGCTCTCTGTTCGTCGTGTGCTAGTTGATTTGGCTCCTGGCCGAGCACACCAGCAGCGCCCTTGCCGGCGGCGTGGCCCTACGGTCCGCCAGAGCGGCACCTGCGACCCCCTTCCTCAACTCCGGTGTGGCTCCGGTGCGGTGACCCCGAGGTGCTGCTCTCGCCGGACCGGGCTCCGGTCGTCCCCTTCCGGTGGGCCCGACGCCTGGGTGGAGACGCAGAAGGACGAAGAGAGGACGCATGTTTGCGTCGCGCGTCGGTACCAACCCAAAATGCGTCGCTCATTTGCCTAGTCTGTTGGAGGTTGTTTTGACCGGCAAAAACACTGTGAACAACCCATTTTTGGGTTTGGGTCACGCTGTTGGAGTCGGTCTTACTCGATGTAGTATGGGTTTGATCCGGGTCGCTACTATACCAACCTGGTCCTCTCGTTGCCTACTTAAGCTATTGGTCCTTGTTGGGACCTTATATATAACGAGATGTCTAGGCTGCCACACTAATCGAGGTCATTAACTGGACCACACTGTTCTTTGGGCAGTGGACATACAACATACACCCCTCTCTATGGTACCTGCTCCTGGCTACACCATAACAGAAGTATTGCAATCATCTCGATCTAATCTTGGGCTTCCACTCCAGTTTTAGCGTTTTCATTACTTATGCTACAATTGTTTCTGGATTCAAAGAATTTGACAGTTATGCATGGTAGGGTAGGAAATAATAGTGTTATATTTCATCTCATTGATATGATTCCATGCCCATCTGTAGGATTGCTTAGTATCCAAATTAAACCACCATGTAGTTTATACTTAAAATAAACTGACGGGTCTCAATACAAACCATACTCCTCCAACACTAAATAAATGTCTTGGTTGTTTTAATTTCTAGATAATTTTTTCTTCAAAATGCAGAAACATAACGAGTTTTTCTTCACTAGGTGTATGTTGGTTGCCACGGCTGGGAAACTGCGCTCATAGTTCAGGCCTTTTGCTCAACAGGGCTTACTGAGGAGTTTTGTTCAACCCTTCAAAAAGCACACCAGTTCTTAAAAAATGCACAGGTTTGCTGAGTATATGTGTGACATATTTATTGAAAAGCATTGTTGTAAATTGACATCAATATTTTCTGCTTGTAGGTTATTCAGAACATTCCTAATTACAAAAGCTACTACCGTGAAAGAACAAAAGGTTCTTGGACTCTGTCCAATGGAGAAAACTTTTGGCCTATTGCTGATACTAATGCTGAAGCACTAAAGGTTATACTTGTCACTAACACAAAGTGAACTTAATATTTGGAAACACTTTTCACATGGCAAGAATCAGTCCTCGCGTGTCAAATGAAGATGATTGAGTCCTCTCTTGGCAGCAAAAGAAAAACATTATCCTTGTTTTATCTTTTTGTAGGAACAGGAAGGGTTTCCCTACCGAGAAATTTATTATTGAAAGAGCAAATTACAATAGAGAATTAAGAATCAAAGAAGATAACCGAAATTACAACAGGCCTTATAGCCATAAATCTGTCAAAGGAAACTATCACTTCTTTGCCTTAAGGATAACCATAGTAAACTCTTTCTTAAAATATCCTTGCAATTCGCTACCTTGGTGCAATAATAATGCCTCTGGAGATCACAACATTTTGCTCTGTTCGAGTCTGATCCTTCTTTTATCTTCTTGAGGCATGTTTTGGCTTGAGCAAATGTATTTCTGATCTTAGTGAGAATCTAAATTAACATGTACTAAAATTATGTACAAATAGTTCTGTTTTACTAGACAATATGTGTTGTCTGCAAAAAAAGGTACTATTTTAATCAGTCGTTTGCCTTTTCATTGTGTAGGCAATACTGCTGCTGTCTAACATTCCTTCAGAACTTGTCGGGGATCCAATAAAACAAGAACGGCTGTATGATGCTGTTGATTGCCTCCTTTCTTTCGTGGTATGACTAATCAAATTATCTACCATATATTACCAACATTCTAGCTAGAGTTAGAATTCCTTCCCAAATGTATACATGAAAAAGTATTATGTACCAATTGTCATGTGGAGCAGCCGGGGGTTGCATGGTGACCGGCTGCATGGTGACTAGAGGGGGCGCAGTTACAGCACGGTAGCACTAATGCAGCAGTGATTAGTGGCTAGCTGGGATTTAGGTGATTAGGGAGATTAATGGCTAGGCTGGAATTCAGGGAGCTAGAAATTAGGAGACTCATTATCTCCGGTAGCCTATTTATACTCTGTAGTCAGCCATGGAAGGATTAAACAATAACAAGACAATTCTATCTCCCAATTCCCTTCTTGAACAACAGGGCGCAGAGGGGTAAAACCTTGCCCAATCCAATTCCCCAAATGCTCTAGTCTCCCTCCACGCCGACTTTGCTCGGCCTTCCTCCTAGCAATGGTTATCTTTATTCCCCAACCCCCAATGATCTAAGGATCATGACACCAATTAGAAAATGGTATTGAAATTATATTAAAATGTGTGAACAGAACAAACATATATATATTTTGGTGCTCTCAGCGAACACTTAACCAAAGCCTTTTTCTTTATTTCTTTTTTTTTCTTGCCGGCACATTGGACATTACATCATCGTAGTATGTGAAAATACTGGAATGTAAAGCATAGATACTAACAAATGAAATTATTCATCACTAGCACATCTAACAAATTCAGTGTATATAAAATTATTCACTAGTGACCAAAGACAAACTCAAGAGATTTGTTAGCTAACACACCTACAAGCACTACTAATAAGGGCCAGTTTGGATCTGGATAGTGTCACACCTAATTTTAAGGATAAAATGGGATGCATAATCTTATAAAAGTCCCAGAGATCAATCATACACATAAGCCGACAAATTATAGAAAGTACCATCACAAGTGTTTATTATATCACGAATATTATCACATAGTCTTCACATAAATATAGCGGAAATATAAAGATAACTCTCTCGCGGAAGCTCCGTAGCACAGGGACGTCAACTGGTTGACCACAAGACTAGTAATCCCCAGGGAAGTTGTCATTATCATAGCAATCTGTTACCCATCCGGGATTTTTATCCAAATAATGAAAATAAACAAGCGTAAGTACATCCCGTACTCAATAAGTGTAACATGGGGTTCATGAGGCTCAAAAACTTACGGGTTTGACTGCATTTAGCTTGTAGTTGTCACAATTTTAACACATCAGTAGCACAAGTTGTTTTAAACCCAATATAAACACATGATCAAGTAAACATGAATAATGAATAGCATAAATAAATAGTCAATAGTAATCATCTATTCCATAAGGGTTCCAAGGCCACTCGTGACCGTGAGCACGATCATTATTATATGAGCTTTTACTCTCTGCAGAGGTTGTACACTTTCACTATGAGTCGTGATTCCCATTTACCCAGGGTTTGCATGTCCCTAAAACACTCCCAAGGTGAGCAGACAGAGTACACTATAAAGTCTTTCAAAGGTTCGTCTAACAAGTTAGGGCCGCTAGGATTTCAATTGGCAAACAGATGTAGAGCTCCCCTTCTAGATGGCACATTCCGCACAGGTTATACACATAGACAAAGGCCGCACTATACCCGATTTGGCAAGCCCCTTTTGCGCCATAAAGGTAACCACTAACAAGCTAGAAAAGGTCCTCATACTTGACTAAAGCCAGAGCCATGTGGCCCTCACAGTTGTACTGTAAGTCTTGGATGATCACTTACAGGTAAGTCCTTAGGAAGAGGAATCTGAAGCATTTAGAAAGTAGCTAAATACTCCGGCCCCTTTTATCAAGTTGCTAAAAAATCATATTTTAATATTTTTTGCATATACCATTAGTCAATTTACAAGATCAAGGTTTCATTGAGCACTAGCATTAGCTACCCAATGCAATATCCCATAGGAGTCAATGCATGGGTATAATTCTAGGAAATCCTTATCAAGGTGACACATGCATATATGAAATAAATGTATTAAGGTTAATAGGAATCAAGGATAATCCCATGCTATACCTGCCTTGATCAAAGTGTTTCTGCTGATCCTGCTTGTCAAAGTAGTACTCTTGATCACCCACGAATTGCTCACCGTCTATACTCGATCAACACAGCAACATACAAGCATCCAGAGGCAATCATGCATAGCAAACAAAGACTATATATTAGAATAGTACATCAACAGCGTAAAATCAAGATGAAAAGTTTGTAAAATGAATTTACGTCTCGCTATGAACACACAGACGCAAAGATCACAAAAATCGGAGTTATAAGGAAGAAGTTATGAATTAAACAAGATTTCCTTTAATAAAATAATAGATTAAAACTATTCTCGAATTTTAAAAGTTGAAAACATATCTAACAATAGTATGAACATGTAGACTACGCGATTACGAATCTAACGCAACTTGAACGGATCAAAACGGAGTTAAAACAGAGATTTTATGCATAAAACAAAGTCAGTGGCAAAACTGTAAATAGATGGATCTGATTTTCGGAATAAAAATAAATATAAATGATTTTAAATCTAACCGAGGGACTGCGGGTTCGAATATGGAAAAGTGCAGGGGCTCTTTAGCAAAAGTGACAGGCGAAGGGGTATCGTTGGCTCTAAGCCGTTGGATCTAATCTGGACGATCAAGATTAGAGAAGAGGGAGAGAGAGAATAGATGGTCATTTGGAGAATAGTGGTGGCCTTGGCGGCGATTTGGCCGGCGATGGCGAGTCCTCACCGGAGAAAAGGGGAAAAGGCCCTAGAGACCTCAGATTAACTCGGGAAAAGCACGGGAAGCAAAAGGAGACGATGGCGAACTCACCCAAGGACTTTTCGTGGACGAAGACGGGACTGCGGCAGCGTGTGGCTCGGTGAGGTGGACGGCGTCGATCTACAACGTCGGCGACATGGGGTGAGCGAACCAACACGGGAAAAAGAGAAAGAAGGGGCTCAGCAGCTTCACAAACTCGACGCGAAGCTCGGCGAAAAACTTACAAAGGCAGCGATGCGGCAAAACAGAGAAGCTTGAGCTTGGGGCGGCGCTTAGGGTTGCAGCGGCTCTCGCGGGCTCGATTGGAGGTGGCGGCTTGCTCTAGGGCTAGATGGGAAGGCGGCGGGCGCAAGGATGCTATTTATGGGGGCCTCGGCATGGCGCGCACGCCAAATCCCGCGGAAATCGGGCCGGGCGCGGAGATTTCCTCGGGAAGGAGTCTGGCTTGAAGCCGACTCGGGGTAGGGGACGACGCTTACAGAGCGGGCCCACCTGTCGGCGACTCAAGGCGTGGGTCCTAGCGGTCAGCCAAAGGGAGAGAGAGGAGAGCATGCCTGCGCTCAAGAGCTAGGCCGGCCCGTTAGTTGGGCCACGCGTAGCGCGCTGGGCCACGGGAAGGAAGGGGGGGGGGGAAGGCTGGGCTGTGTGAGAGGCAAGGCCGAGCGGGCCAAAACCAGGGAGAGAGGAAGGTAGAGGTAAAATTCCTTTTCTTTTTGTTAAACACATTTACAAAATCAAATTCAAATCAAATTTAAATTCTTTTGCAGTTTTGATCAAACCTACTCATCACAAAAATAAATATGCAGCAGCATGTATGCACAAACATGTAGCTATACCTTATAGTTGATTTTAGTTTTACAAAATTTATTATTTCTCTAAGTTTAAATGCTCACAAAAAAGCATAAATAAATCAAATTAACCTATTTTTAAATGATGCAAAGAAGCCAATTGTTAGCTAATTGCTAGATTCTTTATTTGCTAGGTAGTTCATTTAAAGCAATTAGTTGGGCTATTAGCTGGGGTCTTTGAATCTACTAGAGCTAGCTATTTTTCGTGGCTAACTATGAGTTGCATGGAACAACCCTAATCAATGGACCTGTTTCAATTACGTCGGTACAGAAAGTGACCAACTAGTGAATATTTGTAGTTTTGCTGTACGTTGTGATCGGAGGTGGCCTAGCACTCAATGACATAGGATTTATACTGGTTCAGGCAACGTGCCCTACGTCCAGTTTGGGTCGGTCGGTGACTTTATTCCTGAGCCCAGGTGCTCGAAGTATGTAGTGGGGTTACAAACGAGAAGGAGAAAGGTGGGGTGTACGAGAGGCCCGGTCGGGTCCAACCGGAAGGGCCGAGGGCGACCGGATCTCCGCTATGAGTTAGGTGTTCAAGCATGTGCTTGAGGGGTTGTGAGCTATCGATTTAGTGAATCTCAACTTAAAGAAACTCGACCTCCTTTGTTGGAGGGAGCACATCCCCTTTTATAGATAAAGGGGATGGCTTTATAGGTGAGAGGGAAAAAGTACGGATGTTTCTAAGCCTGGTTGCCCACGCCGACGTGGGTAGCGATGATGGTAGGCACCCACAATACTGTTGATGTCACTGTAGAATGTCAGGTGCACATGGGAGGTTGCGTTGGCTTTTTCAGGAAGGGTGGACGTCGATACCTGCAAAATACTGTTGGTATGTGAGGAGCCCTACCACGTATACCAGGTATGGTGAATCCTGGCGCCCACAGTACCACTGATGCCCAGAGGCATGTGGGGGGCTTTTTGCCGTACGGGAGCCCAACGGTGCCTACAATACTGTAGATATAAATGTTAGCGCCTACAATACTGTTTGTGTCAGGACGGTTGTGGAGCACTGTTCCCGCAGGCGTATAGGGTATGGTCCCGGTATCGTGGTTTGACTTTGTGCGCTACCTTCCCCGTTCGCCCCTGGTCCCTTCCGAGTGGGCGTCCCCGGTCGGATGGCCCCAGTCAGCCCTGGTCGCACCAGTTGGAGAAGAGCGGTAAGCAGGCTTCCTACGGGGTCCCCGGTCGGAGACGCGGGGTCGGAGTAGGAAGCAGCGTTTTGAGCCAGGCCTTTCCGATCGAAGAGACCGCCCGGAGGCGGCTGGTGTATGAAGCGAGTGCTCCGGTGCTCCGGTCGGAGAGGTGGCCCGAAGAAGTTGAAGAGCGGGCGCTTGTTCTTTTGGGTAGACCTCCCGGTCGGCGACCGGACTGTCCTTCCGGCCCGTTGTGTTTTAGACTCTTGGGCCGGCCCATGGATTACATGTTGTTTTCCTGGGCCGAGCCCTGACGTGGAAGCCGGTCCCCGAGGGACCCCGGGTTTATGAACCCGACACATTATACAACTCAGACACAATATATAGACTCGTGCTTCACCTAGCCTGCATGTGGGGTGTCTATATATCTCGTGAAATGAAGCTAGTGGAGCCATCAGATAGGCTTAAATGGGTTATTTCTTACTGGGTTCAAATGCAGTTAACATTTTTGGACTGAATTAGGAGGGGCTAAACATCTATTAACTATGTAACAAAGGGATCGGTACAGCATTGGGGAGGGGGGGGGGGTGCAGCCCCCCGCCCTCCGCCCCTGGTCTCTTCCAATTGCTTGTTTGAGGTGTTGAACGAGTATTTGCATCATTATTATTATGGGTATTTGGATCCATAATATCTTTGTCATTAGCCTCTTATCCATCCCAGCGTTTGCAACAACCATCTCTTTTGTTTATGTATCAAACGTAGCTAAGGAAAACTCAGGTTTGATTTTTGTTAACAATTAAGATAACATGTCAATGGTATAGTGCGATGCCAGATCTCAAAATAATACAAAAAATGCATACCCATGGTAACATAAAATTCAACTAGAGATATCCAATTTATCCTGGACCTAGATCTTAACATAATCAACCTTCAAACCTAATGTAATTGGAAAATTGGAGCTTAATTCACTTTAAGCATTAAATATAGTTCCCACAACAAGTTCGGTTATTGGACCATCATTTACATTCACTTTGTATCATGACAGTTACTAGAGGCATCACACCAGTCTATAACATGAACCGGGTGTCAAAGTTATCATCACAACTGATTCATGATCAGTTTGAACATAACAAATCGTGATGGACTGGTTGTAAATTCCATTTCTACAGTAACAAGATTACCATCATATAATTTGTGGCAACTTGTTGGCAAGTATGCCTCTCAAGTCACATCACATCCATTACACTTGTGCTCCCTTCTCATTTATCTAGGTTGTACCAGTGCAAGCGATTTCAGGTCAATCTGCTGGACATAGTATGTTACTAGGCTATGTTCTTGTTTCACAACCGCTAATAATTCTGCATTGGGAGGCCACAAAATATAAGTTCTAGTATGACAGCCATATATACTTTGTTGCACGCTATTCTTGTCTCAAATTATAGAATAATCAAGCATGCTGGATCCAAAATTCAAGGCTCTACATATTGGTTGTATAGTTATTGGATTTCACGTTAGTTGTCCGCTTACCTAAATCTGTATGATGAACTTTGCAATTTTATGATTATATGAAAAAACTTATTTTTCTTCATTTCAAATTCAATAGTACTGACACAACTATTGTTCTACTCTGTTGAAGAACAAAGATGGTACATTGTCATCAGCTGAATGTAAACGGACAACTCCATGGGTGGAGGTGAGTATACCTTTTGCATGGTATTAATGTACACTATAAAAACAATGTTTCTGGTTTTTTTGTCTTATATTTGAAACTTTTTCCAAGACTTCTGCATATACTAGTATAAATTAGAAGTTCATCTATCAATAATTGAGAAACTTCTTACTAAATAGCTCTTCTCAACTAGGGGCGAAATAGTGGAGATAAACAATCTAATTTATTTTACTGGTGATATTACGAATCTAGGAAATGTCCCTATTGTTGAAGATCATCAATATGTTGGAGGAGTTGTACTTTGTTTAATGAATTTAACGCATATCTTTCGGGAGATCTAAACAATAAGTCACTTAAATGAATTTAACTGTAGCAACTTTTAACATTCTACAAACAAGAGTGGATATCACTATTCACTAGTGAATATCAAAGCTAAGGAAAAGTGGAATCATGTATGATACAGTAGGAATCCATGTGTGTGGCAAATCTAATGCTACATTGGGTCTGATCTCATAGTGGAACTGAAATGTCTAATGATCTCACTTATTTGAAGTTTTAATAAAAATTAAACATATTTGTCTTCAGTTACATGAACTGATACATTCATGGTTAAAATGATTCGGGAAAAAACAGAATAAATCAAAATATTAACCTTTCGCTCTTTAGCAAAGTAGTAGGAATAGCTTCCAGCTGTATTTAGGAGTAATAATTGATCCCCTGATGCTATTTGCACATGGTATGTAAAGCCAACATGTTTATGGAAATTGGAAAATCCAACCCTGGATGCAGTCTTGCATCCACCAACCATGTACATGCATGCATGGGATTTCACCATGCCCTTGTTGGATTTATATTTTTTCTACTACTTTTACTTTTATGAAATTTCATACATTGTCATTGTCATTTATTACTTATATATTAGAAAAACATGTGGTTTTTTTAGCTTGGCCGTGACATATCACACACGACATACTAAAGTACTTTTATTTTAATGCCGTATCAAAATCTTAGTGGTCTATGTGAATTGATTAACTCCGTTCATAATGCAGTTTATCAATCCTTCTGAGAGTTTTCGTAATATCATCGTCGACTATCCGTAAGAGATTCGAGTGTTTGATGGTTTAAAATGTTCACTAATTTACTTTACAAATTGGACAACGACTAACGGCCTACAACCAAATATGCAGATATCCTGAATGCACATCATCATTAATACAAGCTTTAATATTGTTTAGAGACAAGTGTCCAATGTATCGTCGTGAGGAGATAGACAAAATTATCAAAAGTGGTGCATCGTTCATTGAGAAAGTACAACGAAAGGATGGGTCCTGGTATGTAAAAATGAATTGCTAAGAATCATGGATTATATGTGAATTATATTATGACTGCTAATAATAAAAACTAATTAAACAGGTACGGCTCTTGGGCTGTGTGTTTCACTTATGCAACATTCTTTGCTATAAAAGGACTAGCTGCTGCAGGAAGAACATACCAGAACAGTTTGCCTATCAGGAAAGCATGCAACTTCTTGTTGTCAAAGCAGCTAGCAACCGGTGGATGGGGAGAGAATTATCTCGGTTGTCAAATTGAGGTAATTGTTCTTCCATCATTTGTATTGCATTCATTCGGTCATGTGGACATTTTAAGTTGTCTCCATTGTGCTGTCATGTGTTAGTTAGACTTAGGGATTAGGGGGATTATTAATTATTAACAGGATTCCTAGCTCATAGATTAGAACACCTACATTAGATAGAATGGTTCTCATGTATACCTTCGTTGGAGGAAGTATAGGTGTCGTGGCTCCGGAATCCTAGCCCTTTCTTCTACCTCTTCTACAGCTGTCGGGAATCCTAACCCTTTCTTCTTCCTCCCAGCGAACGGCTGGCGAGCGGCGCGCTGATGGATAGAGTTTGCGATACTCTATGCTGACTTGCGAGCGAGTAGACGAGGCCGCCAATAGTGAGGGGGCGGCAGGTGACTCGGCCTGGACGGATGCAGATCGGCCGGCATGCCATTGCTCGCGCGGTTGTGCCTCGTGGCTGAGAGAGCCGGACTTCGCCTTCGAGAATCGAGAGGAGGTGCGTGCAAAGACCGACGACCGCCGGCGCTCGTGCGCAAGAGGGACCTGGAATCTGCGCTAGAAGGACATGGAGCGTCAGCAGTCAGCAGACTCAGCACCTCACGCAGAGGGTGGCCGGGAGTTGGGGATGGACGTTGCTATTGTGCTGGGCCGGCGCGACGCGGGACGTCGGGTGGTGCCTACTGACTCGCGACCTGGGCTGCTTTCTACTGGGCTCCCGCCGGCCTGCTACTTGTCTAGCTCGCGACGCAGCTCGACTCTGGCTCGTTATGGTACCGATGACTAGTGAGCAAAAATGATGCATGAGCTCGTTAAATTAAACAATATATAAACGAGCTAAGTCGACCTCAGCCTGTCAGCCACTAATGAGCAGAGTTAAATAAGCTAGCCAGCTACAAATTTTTCATCCAGTCCTACAAGAGCCATGGTCAGGAGTGGACACGCCCGCTGGGCTACCGACGGTGATGTGTTTTTCTTTATTTTTTCTAGTTATAATTTGCATGTGTGGTTAAAAATGGCAATTGCGTCTGCAAATCAATTACCAGGTATGGTTGGCATCTTCACCGCCCTTATGCTACCTCCAACAGCAACATCAAAAATATAAGACCCATTCGTTTTTTGGGTAGCGCTACAGACAAAAGGTTCAATACATATTCGGCATCTTCTCCAATAACAAGACACAAAAAAGAATCATTTCTGCAAATAGATTTTCAGGAGAGAGAATGTCCGTATTTGAGTTGTGCCTCTCAGGCAACCCAAAATAGGTCTCTCGTATAGGTACTCTGTTGGAGGCTAATTTTCGGTCTCTTGCTATCCATTTTGGGTTTGGTTGCCCATATGGATTCCTTGTTATACTGTCTCCAACAACCGCGACCCAAAATACAAGACCCATTGGTCCTTTGGTAGCGCTACAGGCAAAGGGTTTAATACATATTTTTGTTTTTCTCCAACAACAAGACCCAAAAGACAACACTTTCTGCAAATGGGTCTCCAGGAGAGATGATACTCAGATTTGGGTTATGCGTCTCCTGGCACCCAAAATGGGTCTTCCATATAGGTACTCTGTTGAAGGCTATAGGTATTATGTTGGAGACCCATTTTATGTTTGGGTTCTACAATGGATCTCCTGTTGAAGACAGCCTTACAGATCAATTTATAGGCGTGAATGCCCGGCTGCCTGTGAAAAGTTCTTATTTATAGAGACAGTTTGGTGAAGATGCCCGAGAAAATTGTTTTAGTGTTTGTTTGAATGCACTCGTATTTAAATTAATCTATGTATATATGAAAATTAATTAATTTTGCACTCTAATATATGTGAATTGAGGTAATTACGGCGCATCCAAATAAGGTCTTAGAAATTTGTTTTGTCTGTGTCTGAAAATTAGCTTTTTTAACATAAGAGTAAAAATTAGTTTTGTAGTAGTGTTCTTTTCAACAAGACGTGTTGCGGAAAATAGAGTACTTAGAGTTTGTGCTAACTATTTTTTCGGCTGCAAACTGAACAGGAGTACGTTGATAGTGGCAGGCCACATGCAGTGAACACTGCACAGGCGATGCTAGCTTTACTTTACGCTGGACAGGTTTAATTTGCGCCCCACCCCCACCCACCCACGCACTCCGCTTGGATATATCTGCTTTCCTAATGTTGATACCGTGAGCAGGTTGAACAGGATCCAGCGCCACTATACCGTGCTGCAAAAGAATTAATCAACATGCAGATGGAGAACGGAGAATTTCCCCAACAAGTAAGTGTTTTTCCATAAACCAAAATAGAGTATTCGATGCATATTAAATATAAATTGAGTGATTTATTCAACCAGTTAGGAGAAATATGGCCATTATGTTTATGAAACCTAGTGGCTAACAAAAATGGCCATGATATATCTAGTGTCAATATATATGCCTTGGAACTAAGATAGATAAAATTTGTAAGCATGTTTAATTTGCTCATACTTATGAAGAGAGATGCACAATTAACGAGGAGAAATAAAGAGAGAGAACTTCATTAATTAAGCCACATATCAGCCATATATTTTGAAACAAGATGTCAACGAATATATGCCTTGCTTTTTTGAATGGAAGGGTAGTAATAATGTTATTCTACCTGGTTTGGTTTTATAAGCGTTAGCATGCATGTTTGGATGAAATAGTAGAGAACTCCAAGTAAACCAAAATTTGTGGTAGCTCTTTAGTGTAACTGTGCGTGTCATTCGGACTGACATCCACTTCCATCCTGTTCTGTTTTGTTCAGTTCATCTTGTGGTTGCTATCTCTGAACTCTGAAAATTGTTTGAATATGCATTTCAATTTTAGGAAATTGTTGGCAACTTCAACTCCTCACTTTTCTTTAATTATCCCAACTACCGGAACTTATTTCCCATCTGGGCTCTAGGAGAGTTTCGCCGTCGACTTCTTGCAAAAAAGAGTTAAGGTGGGTATCTTTGGCCATTTCTATGAATTGTATTTGGGATACAAATATCCATATACATTATATTGTATATTGTATTGTATAATGTATGAACCAAGCCCGTGGTGATGGGATGTAACACAAAACAAAATTTGTATTTACTAAAGTATATATTAATCTTTGTAAGATTATCACAAACTAGTTGATAATCATCAGTCATCTGGTTCTTCAAATTCAACAACAATAATGCAAAATGTTCTTAAGCAAAATCTCTTGTGAATCTGTCGCAACTATATCTGAAAATAAAATCAGTGGCCTGTACAGAGAATGAAAAATGAAAACATAGACTTAGAGCATATCTAGGAGTTAGGGAAAAAGCACTTCCCAACAGCTGTATATACCTACTCCTAGTTCTTACACACTGCAGAAAATTGAGCACTGCACACACATATGAATGTGGATATAGAGGACTCCCGATCGGTCTTAGGATGGTTTTCTTCTCTTCCGCATTTTTTCCCACAGTTTTTTTTTTTGTCTTCCTGTTTTGTACAATATCCCCGTGTCCCTATAGCTGGTATCTGCCTTGCTATAGCAGCCACACCTAGCTGGCAATAGTCCTGCCTAACCTAGCTAGAACTAGCCTAGACAATACTAGAAATATCCACTTCTACGACGAACAACTTTCGTCGTTAAGGAGCCAAATTCGTCATAATTTTAGTTTTATGACGAAAAACGGTTCGTCATATAAGTCGCGTCATTCTTTAAATTCTATGATGATTCTAAAAATTCGTCATAGATGTGGATAGATCTATGACGAAAACTGAATGTCATAGAACTGCTTTGTCATGCGTGGCAGGGGGCAGCCACGCTGGCGAGTGCTTCCGTTGGAGATGTTTTTTACGTGTACATGCTATAACCAGTTCTATTGGAGATGGTTCGGGTACGTGTCACCTTCTTATTGCACAACGTGGCCATCTCTCTGGTTCTTGCACGCTTGAGTTCTTCTTGGACCACGGTGTCGGGACCCCGTTGTTCCACATGTCGGTTTTCTATTAGCACACGTGTCGTGTTGCGGTTGGGTCACGTGTCACTTCTTCATTGGACCATGTGTCGTATTTTTATTGGTCCACGTGGCGTGACCACAATACCCCGCGTATCTTTGTTTTACTCGACCACGTGTCTCGATATTGTGCGTCCGCGTGTCAATATTTTATTGGGCCACGTGTCACATACCTCGAGCTACCCACGTGTCTTTTTCTCGATTCGACCACGCGGTAGGGGCGGATTTGTACCACGTATTTTGTTTGTATTGCCCACGTGCCTGTCAGTGGCTCTTACACGTGTCATTCACTAGTTCATCCACGTGTTAGATTCTTATTTAACAACGTGCCTGTGCCGGATTTACCACGTGCACACCAATCATTACATCAGAAAAAATGATTTCAGATCTACACTGCTGCATAAAATGACTACATGCATAATTATATTGAATCTGAATCAAATAACAGCAATTTAGCTTAGCAGCAAACCACTGATAGAGTTTCACATATCAAGCCATCAAAATTTCACATCAAAACAGTAAACAAACCACATGTTCACTGCATCAACAAGACTGAGAGTTACCAACGCTTAAGAGCATGATATGCTCACGGAGCTTATTGTACTCCTCCTGTTGTTGTTTCTTGAACTCCTCAAACTCCCTATCAGTGTTTTTTGCCTTCCTCTTCAGTTGATCCACTTGTTTGGCGAGGACTGCTGAACTTTCCTGATGAGCAGCAAGCCGTTCCCAAAGTCTGGAGTAGCTTGTCCTGATACCAGCATTCTTCAAGGAAAAGGTGTTATAGCTGGCCTGGGAGAGGACCTTAGAAACAACATCAGCAACATGTTCTGCTCGTATAGTTTCCATAGCTTTCTGCGAAAACCAAGGAGTAAACATTAGGTAGAGGACTTAAATTGCAGAACCAAGAGATTATTTCATTACAAGTAATGCATAGGTCTTCCTCGGCCTACTACCGATAGAGATCCATAAGCACAATGCATAGGTAACATATTAACTGTTGTAATATTACAACTTAAAAATGATGGTGCCACTTTAGGCTCCTCCTACTTTTCCTTCTTTTATGCCAATGGTTTCAGCAGATTTTAAGGAAAGCAAAGGAAGGTACTTGTTGGTGTTTCTTAGCGTCACCACTAGGATTGTAAGTCCTAGCGATGGCACCAGAAACGTCGTGACGATATTTCTGAACACATGCAGAAATGTTAAGCAAGCGCACGGATATATCGTTGTAGCATTTCACCCGGAAGTATTTGGGTATCGTTCATTTATATTTTCCTAAAGGAAGGCATGATATAAAAGTCTCTAGTAGAGACATGGTCAAAATAACATGATTGTATAATTGACCAAAGTTCATAACCGGGGTAAGCCAGGATAAATATGGGATAGTGTGACACACACACTCAAGCCAATCTCAAGGATAAAGATAAAAGAAAGAATAAAAGAATTAACCCTAAACAGGAGCAGGCATCCTAGTGTACACAAGGGTAGCGTTAATGAGGATAGAGATGGATTCCTATGGTTTTAGGGTCTAAGGATAGATAAACTTTTCTTCTACTTGCTTACTTCGGGCACCGGATAACACTTGGTCTGCCAAGCATTGTTGACCTACGGCTCTACGCCGTATCCGAATGTGGGGGATTACGAAGGACGAACAGGGCTGTCACCACCTTTCATCTACCCCTCAACTGGAGGATATGAGGCAAATGAAGGTAGCCTCAAGCCTAGACACCATGTCTACGCTATCGACTACTACTCTAGCATTCAGGTAGGGTTATCCATCTTTATCAGGGACCTCTACTAGAGTATCCGTGCAAGAATGGACGACGAACCCACAAGCAAATAAGAGTAAAGATTAACTAGCAGAAGGACTTTACACCAAAAGAACCACGAACACTTACTTAGCGAATGAATCCACAAAATAAGTGTTCGCTGAATTGCAAGCGGGGGGAGGCTACCGGCTAGTCCGGTTCTTCCCCAACTCTCCCTCACATCTCTCTCTACTCAACTCTAACTAGCTAACTAGGGCATGAGCCCTAGGAGTGATGCTCTTGTCCCAAAGGATAATGTAGCTCTTCTCCTTGTGTGTTGTATGAATGATAGAGCATAGAAGATCATATGCTAAACTAGTAACATAAGAACCTAGCCCTAAATCATGATCATAGCAACATTGATAGAATAAAAACAAGAACAAGATGAAGAACATGACATAAATCAAAATGAAGAACATTGTATTGATCATACCAAATATCTTCAAGATGTTCCTGATCTCCAATTACAAGCTTTACCAAGCTCCTAATACTAAAAATAGTAGAAAAGAATACAAGTGGAGAGGGAGAATGGCTCTTGTGTGGTGTGTGTTTATGTGAGAGCTCCTCCTCTCTATTTATAGCAATGCTATGATTGGTTTCTCTGCATGTGCCTATGCAACTGTCATAGGGGAGACCACCAGGAACGTCACGTGGAAGGGGAGATAAGGCAGTGCAGCTGGGGGTGCGCCCGCACCCCTAGTACGGCCGCACCCAGGAAGCGCCTCCCTGCGACCGCCTTTGTACGGTTACTATGTGGGCCTAGATGTCACACCCAATTTTAAAGACAAACCTAGGTTCGCCATATGTGTGCCCAGGAAGTCCACACATACAACAATAGAATGAATAGTATCAGAAACAATGTTATTAAATAACATATACATGGCTATATTAACACTTACATCAGAGTATCGTGGAACGGTAACTAATCTTCAGACTCTATTCTTCACAGAGATGACTGACTAGGGGTAACATACGCCTAGCACTCCTATCAATCTTCTAGGAACTCCTTTGTGTCCTCATCAATCTTCTGAGCAACTTTACTACAGACTGAGGTGTGAGGGAAATAGTAAGGGTGAGCACATGTCGTACTCAACAAATATAACATGGGGTTCATGAGGCTCAAAAGGTTAACACTAGTTTACTACGATTAGCTTTTAATGAGTCATAGTTTTAATCAATTGAGTAGCAACAAGTTTATCACAAGCCCACGTAAACACATGATCAGGTAATCATGAATAATGAAATAGCATAAACATTTAACCATTAATGATTTATCTATTCCATAAGAGTTCCAAGGTCGCTCGTGACCGTGAGCACGGCTGATATACCAGTTTTATACTCTGCAGAGGTTGTACACTTTCACCATGAGCAGTGATACCCATATGCTCGGGTTAATTACTCCCAAAACACTTTCAAGGTGAGCAGGCAGGGATCACTATGAAGTCTTTTAAAGGTTCGTCTAACAAGTTAGGGCCGCTAGGATTCCAATTGGCAAACAAATGTAGAGCTCCCCTTTCGAAAGGCACACTCACGCAGAAGTACTCTTAGGAACAGAGGCCGCACTATACCCGACTCGACAAGCCCCTCTTGTGCCATAAAGGTAACCACTAACAAGCTAGAAAAGGTCCTCATACTTGACTAAAGACAGAGCCATGTGGCACTCATAGTTGTACTATAAGTCCCGGTTGACCACTTATAGATAAGTCCTTAAGGAGAGAAATCTAGAGCACCATAATAACAACCCAATGCTCTAGCCCTCTTGAGCCATGTTGCTAAAAAGCATCTTTTAGTGTTTATTGCATATACCATTAGTCAAGTTACAAGATCATGGTTATTTAATTGAGTGCTAGCATCATACTACCCATATGCATAAACCCATAGGAATCAAGGTACAAGGTAACAAAATACTAGGAAAGCCTTAGTGGTAGTCAAGGTAGACACATGCAGCATGAATTAAATGATTAAAGGTGTATAGGACAACAAGGAAGATCCCGTGCTATACTTGCCTTTCACTTACTTTACAACTAATGATCAACTCCTCATAGAACCTTCAATCTTTTGTTCTTTCAGTCTCTTCTTTCGGACAGCTCTTCTTCTACTCGCAGATCGTAGCACATCAAGCACACATATAAGAAGACAACTAAGAGCAGTACACCAC